GTTATGCAGGTCCTTCTCACATTTTACTTACCTGAAATAATGCCATGTGTCAAATATGGACCAATTAACTGGTATACTGTATTAGTTATGCATGTCCTTCTCACATTTTACTTACCTAAAATAATTCCATATGTCAAATATGGACGAATAAACTGGTATACTGCATTAGTTATGCAGGTCCTTCTCACATTTTACTTCCCTGAAATAATTCCATGTGTCAAATATGGACGAATTAACTGGTATACTGCATTAGTTATGCAGGTCCTTCTCACATTTTACTTACCCGAAATAATTCCATATGTCAAATATCTAGTAATGCAATGAAATAATGCGAACATGCGAACATGTTTGATGAACCCGTCTTAACTTAGCTTGGGGTACCACCAATACCAATGTCGCCAGCTAGTTAGCAACAATGTCATTGACGAATTGTACCGCAATAGCTGTACAACAGGGGAAAATCAAGACCACATTGGCATCAAAAGAGAGAGTCTCAGAGCTGACCAAACTTCTGATGCACAATAGAGTAAACACTGTCAATAAAGTATTCTGTCTATTGGTCGAACACTGCAATAACATTTAGTGGAAGGAGCACAGCCCACATAAACCATGCTTCAAACGTGTAGTATAAATGATGTCATCTATGAGACCTGGTAACTCTTGGTGCATTGTACACCAGAACACGTCAATGAAGTACAAGCCTTCCTAAGAATACAGATATCTATACCTTCTGGTGCATTAATGAAGAGTGTCAATCAGTGGTCGAAGTACCTTGACACAGATCAAATGGGAAGGGCTGAAGGTGATTCAGTTTGCCTACTTGACGTTTTCATATAGCATAAAGAGCATTTTTTTTACTATAGTGTGACGATATAGTTGCCTACCTCAACAAAAAGAACATGAAGTCAATTCTTTTCAACATTTTCGCAGCGGAAATCCCCTCTTGGAATGTCTTACTCTACATCAGCCTAGAGGACAGGTACATCAATGGAAACAATCATACCTTAGCTGACACACTGTCTCGAATTTGTACCTTAGCAAAGTGGCATATCCCACCACAGATCAGTCTGCCACAGCACTGAACACCAAGTCCAGTGTTTGTGTCTCGCACACCACATTTTAGATACTTTTCATTTCTGCATTACATTAGTTGCTTTCCATTACTGCAGGCAACTCTTCAGCATACTTCCATTAGGTGTCATTATGCAGCATTATTTGTCGATTTTTTTCCGTCAATTTTATCGGTCAGTCTGGCAGTCTTCTGGAGGTGGCATCAGCAAAACGCATCACCCCCCCCCCCCCGTCATTCTATGTAACAAATAAGAAGTACAGAAAACTAATATATGTTTTTTCACATGTTGATTTATTCTCATTTATGAAAAGTCTCGTACATAATTTTACCTTGCACTTTCCTTGGACATCCAAGCAATCTGTGTCTCTTTGATAAAATACCATGGATGTTGGCGTGGGAGGTTGATGGTAACACATGGTCTATGATCATTATAGGGCAGAGAGCGACAAACACACTCAGTGAGGCTTCCTGTACTTAGACTTTTTATCGTGTTGGGTTTGACTTTTAGACTGGCTTCAGATTCTACATTAAAATACCTTTAATGCGATGTAATACGCATTTCCAACACATGATTGGGAGTCATAAAAATAATGTCTCAATAATGTCGTCTTCAGTCTATTAGGGGCTTTATCATGGCACCAGTTTTCATCTTTGCCTTAGATTTCCTTCCATGACTAGAGTTTTATCATGCTTGTAAATATTAGAGTGTAGTATACCTCTTTCAATTGCAGGGCATCGTAATGTTAGGCATGCATAATCACTTAACCTTTTCAGTGTATATGCTTATGCTAATTTCCTGGCGCACAAATGACGCATCAGAAAAACTATTAAGGTAGCGGGACTATTATTTGCATACTTGTTTTTATTTTCTAATTGTGACTAAATGACTACAAATAGACCCGGAAAAGTATATATTTTTAGAATCGCCAGACTTCAAGCTCTTCACAAGTGTATTTTGCATGCCCGTATCTGCATTCTACGACGCGTTACTCAATCAAAGGTGAAAAATTACTTTTTCTGTAAAAAAAATAATTACGCATTTATGCTGGCGATAAGAAGTATTTTTTCCACTTTTCCTAGTTGTTCAATAGTCTGGTAAATTGAATGTGTCTGGTCAGTTTTATTCAAACAACGCGTTTAAAAAAATAGTGTGATGAATTTCAATTACTGTTTTAGTCACATTGCCCCCAACTCAAACCACAACTCGTTGGTAAATACTCGATGAAT